TCTATCTATCTATCTATCTATCTATCTATCTATCTATCTATCTATCTTTCCATCCATCCATCCATCCATCTAATTTATCCAGGGCCAGAACTTACAAAAGCAAACCAAATAAACAAAGAACATCACAGAGCAAAGGAAACATAACCAAACAATACATGGCAAATGGTGTATCACTTATCTATCCCAGAACTTGGGGAAATGACCACATTTTTAAAAATTGCCTAAAATTTGCAGGGTCAGGGCGGTTCAAACCTCCGGAGAGATAACATTCCAAGAGCAAGTGCCACAGCAGAGAAGGCACAATTCCTAGGTCCCGTCAGATGACATTACTTGATGACTGCGACATGAAACATACCAGTCCTGCCTGGGCAGGGAGAAAATAATGGGAGAGAGGTCATCTCTCAGATAGCCAGGGCATAGGCCATGAAGAATCTTGTAACCAGCCCTTTATATTGCACTCAGAAGCTCATTGGGAACTAGTGCACTAGCATAGTATAGATCTTACATGGGTGTTCTGGGATGCATCCAAAACTATTTGGGTGGCTGCATTCTAGATCAGTTGTAGCTTCCAAGATATCTTCAAGGACAATCCTCATCTGAGGTAACCAAGGTGTGAACAATTGTGAGAAAGGAGTCACAGTCCAGGAAAGGGTGCAATTAGTTTATCATATAAATCTGTGCGAAGGCCCTCCTGGCTGTTACCTACTTCCTGCTCATTATTCAGAAGCTTTGAGTTTAGAAGGACTGCCCAAGTTGACCTGAATTAGGGCAAGCCCATCCAGAATCAAAGACGGAAAAATCACTGGGACCAAATATTCAGCACCCGTACTCACTCAGTCTTGTCAGGGTTAAACCTGAGCTTGTTCCTCCCCATCTAGACAGCTTTCAGGAACAAATATGACATTGATAGCATTGTTTGACTGACTGGGGTCAAAACCTATCATCAGTATAGTGACCTCATGTTGATGGATGACCTCACATAGCAGTTTCATGTAGAAATTAAATAGGAGAAGCTAGAGCGTCAGGTCCTGAGGTATCCTGCAAATCAGGGGCTTCATGTTGGATCTCTCTCTATCTGTCAACACTGACCAGAACTTAGAATAGAGAAAGAAGGAGATCTTCTACTTCCAAGCCACAAATCCAGAATAACAGGATGCTATGATTAATACACTGAAAGCTACTGAGAAATTAAAAAAGCCAGGACAGCCACACTACCCTTATATACTGGCTCCACCAGAAGTCATCAACAGATGTGACCAATGCTGTCTCCAAACTGTGCCCCAACCTGAAATTCAACTGGTCCTGTTTCCTCTAGTGCCCTCTGAATTGATAGTCCAATTACCACCTCAACTTTACCAAAAGGGGGAAGGTTGGAGACCCAATGAAAATGGTCAAGAACCATTAAGTTCACCAATGCTTTCTTAAGGAAGAGGCACTTCCACTTCCTTCCAGACAGGCAACACTACCTCCACTCCAAAATCAATTTATCATTGCATGGGCCTAATTATATTATATCACATTCTGGGAGGCTTTAACCAACTAGGAGGAATTTTGAACTAAAACCCAGGTACTATAATGATGCTTATGGATAAAACCTAACGATCACATCCAACTTCCACTGGCATCACTGGGTCAAACACTTCCCAGGTAAATAATTCAAAACCATCCCTTTGCTAACTCAAAAAAAAAAAATCTGCCTGGTTGAAATCTAACAGAGTAGATCTGAGATACTTTTTTTTGCCAGATGCCTAGAATTTTCCTTGTATACCGAATATTCAGAAGATGAGGAACATTTTCGGCATCTGCAGAAAAAGTCATTCAAATTCCTGCAGTCACTTTGTTTACATGGTTACATTAAATAGAGTCATCAGCAAATCATCCCTGGAAGTAATAAGAGCAGAAAAATAGCTACATTTTGCCACTCTTATTGCTAACAATGTAGTCTCAAATATGAGCTCTTATACAAGCTTACCCAGGTTTATTCTTTGCTTTTATTAGCAGCCCTATGGACATTAAGATGCTGCTTAATCTCTTGGACATCTTTGAACCATCAAGGAATACCATGTGTTCAAAGCACAAAGAGAGGCTGGTCCGAGGCTCTCATCATACCCCCATTCTAGGCAGGAATTAAGACCTTGGTGGAACTACCTACCAGATTCCCAAGGGAAAATCCCAAACTCCCCCTGAAATGATCCAGGTCCATTCATCGAAGAACAATTGGATGGGTCCTACCTCCCTGCAGCACCAGCAAATCAAAGGTAGTCCAAGAAACAAGGTGGGCTTTTGATAACTCACTTGTTTAGGAGAATTATATGTGCCAATAGCAATGGGTGTGAACATATGTTTAGCTGAAGTGAAGTGAATGTAGTGGCATCCCAGCTTCAAGGTCACGCCAATAAAATTCAGCTGCAGACATAGAATAAAAAGTAAAGAGGTGAAATAATGGGCTGTTACTTACACCATACAAGCTGCATTCATACCAACCACAAGTAGCGCCTCCCCCCCCACTCTCAATTCTTAAAAATATTAAAGCTAAAGTTAAAAGTTAAAGGGAGCAGCCCATCAGCATTCTCAAGGATTCTCCTCATTAAACCTCACACCACAGGTTGGTGTGGACACAAATCTGGATTTTCACCTTTTTTGAAATTCTGAATTCCTACAAGGGGCGGGGAATACAAACGAAAGGGAATGCAGTACTTCCACAGAAATCTTGCATAATATGTAATGGGCATCTAATAGAAGGTCAGTAAAGAAGGAAGGAGGTATTCCTGGGGAATAAGGGAATTGGGTTTTAACTGAAAAATTAGGGAGGGCCAAAGTGGGAAAGGCAACTTAAGAACAACTTTGGAGATCAAAGATGATAAAACCACTAACGGTATGAAAGGGAATAATATCAAATAAAAATCAGCACTATGGTTTCTATTTTTTTTCCCAAGAAAGATACCAAATTGGGATTAGTTCTCCTTTGTCTCCATCTACAAACCACAGAGATAAAATCACATTCTCTTGACTGTCACTATCACCGAGAGAAAGTGCATCAAATCATAAGTCAACACTTTTTTTCTAATGCTAAATAGAAAATTCTGCTATCAGTACAATTCAACCCCCATAGTGCCTAGAGTGGTAACTATAATGATGCTTATGGATGAAAAACCAGAGGTCTCAGATATGTTATGGTGAGTATGTGAATCATAAAAAGCACACTCTGTACCCAAGGACATTTTACCAATGTACTGCCTCCTATAGCTATAGCAGCCAAAGAACTTAGTGTGGCCGTAGGGAAGAATAGCATCACTTCCTCCTGGGAAGTTTATGAACCTCTGCACTTAATATCATACCAGAATTTCTCGACCATGGGATACTTTTAGTAGGACTGGGAGTCGGTCAGTGCCAACAAAATCATGCCTGTTGAAGGAAAAACAAATATAACTATTTTATTTAATGCATAACGGAAACCATTCCAAACTCATTTAACTGATGAATCCTATATCAAATAAGAGATCAGGAACAATTCTTTCCCTGTTGCAGAACTGCACTGTTGCATAAAGAGCCTCCTGGGCACAAGGATAGCATTGGATAAGAAAGAACAATGTAAAGTTAATCTACAGCTGCCTTAGGTTCCAAATAAATTCAAGAATTGGAAACCTGAGTCCAGGAGAAGGTAAAATCATTCAGTCCTCTGCTTTAAGAGAATTTTGTTGGGATTTCATACTTCAGGTGATTGTAACGGTCCTAAACTGTGGATTAAGTGGGTGTGCCCTATCTAGCAAAGGAGCTGAAATTGACATTTGGGTGAGCTCAGCTCCCACATGGTAAGGAACCATAGTACATGAATACCTGTAAGATAGGTGTATAATTTGCTCTTGCCCTGGAGGAAGCTTTCCTGACTTGGGAACGATGGTGAAAAGCTGATTATCCTGGATCCGCATCTGATGCAACTCACTGGGATCAAATTCAGTACTTTCTGCCCAATATTCCATGTCAATCTTCTGGTCAGAAGGAAACAGAAAATCCCTACAAAAACAGTTAATGCCCAGAAAAGGAGGAAGAAAATGAACAGATCCAATCTTTAGAAGACAGAATTACACTAAATATCAGGAGGCTGCCTGGCTGACAAATTTTCTCATTGCTAAGCAGGGTCTGACCATTCTCTCTTCAGCTGATGGGTATCACTGGCCCATTCTTATCTTGTTCAGCATCCAGACTATGATCAACCAGACCTAGGAATCCAAGGAACTTTACAACATGTCTTATACAGTGCTCTAGTTTACAGAATCATAGATTGGTAGCCATCTAACCTATTTTCCTTCTCAATGCAAGAAAGACATTGCTACAGTATCCTCACTAGCAAACCTCTATAAGCAATGAAGAGCCCATTTCTATTTCCCCAAATAACTTGTTCCATTGTCAAATCTTACATTCACAGTCATTCTCTGAACACAAGAAATATAATTAAGCACCGTTGAAGATGCAATTCTAATAGAATTTTTCTTTACCTGAATATTCATGAATTATGCCTCAATATTATTTATAACTCAGACCACTTGGCCTGTTAAAGAAAACCAAACATGAGGGATAACATTTTTAACTGCAGACAAAATGCCCCCCCCCCCAATTAAATCCATACTATGAAGATTCTTATCTGACCCATTCTAAATTCAAGTGAAGGAGGAAGAGAGTGAAAAAATTCTGAACTGTAAAGAGAAGCTATTTCTGGTTAAGTCAGTGGTTGAGGATTACATACCAGTTTACAGGTATCGTTCCATTGTTCTGTATCATCAGCACAACCACAGAGGACCCACATCCAACTGGAGCGGCTCCAAAATTGAAATCCACCATGACAGGTGTGTAAACTGGTGGGATTCGTTGAGTGCTGCATGTTGAAGAGAAATAAAAATAAGAAGAACGGAGGAGGAACTGTTCCTATGTTCAATAGTCTCAGAATCTGGCTTGTTTACATATTGTATTTTCTTATGTCTTGCTTGAAGAAGGGGAAAAAAAGGAAAAGAAAGAAAAGGAAGTATTAGTTGCAGACTATGATGTAATCAAGAATGTTTCTGTATGGAGGAACTAAAGACTAAGACACCAGCCAAGCTGACACCAGCCAGAGCATAGAAAACCTCAAAGAAGCAGTGCAAGATCAGAAGATGTGGAGCGAGTTGGTCCATAGAATCCGCAAGAGTCAGACATGGCTCGGTGATGCTGAGGTTAAAGTACAGTACTGAAGGCCACTTCTGCTGACTGCCGGATGCCTGCAATTTGGCAGATCGAATCCCACCAGGCTCAAGGTTGACTCAGCCTTCCATCCTTCTGAAGTTGGTAAAATGAGCACCCAGATTGTTGGGGGCAATAGGCTGACTGTAAAACTGCTTAGAGGGGGCTGTAACGCACTATAAAACAGTATATAAGTCTAAGTGCTATTGCTATGACCAAATGGATATCCTCCTCCTCCTCCTCATCATCATCATCATCATCATCTTAGACTAAGAACTAGTAAGAAAAAAGGGATTCTTACCTATGTCTGGTAGGCACTCGGAAAGTGAGCTCTTGTGGTGTCGGCTCTCGCTCCAGATATTGGTTCAGTCTCTCCAAAGAAAAGAGCCTCCAGAGGTGCAGCTTGCTGATGCCAGAGGCACAGCCTGTCCCGCAGGCATCAACGACGCAGATGGAAGGGTAGATGCCAGTTGCTACCACATAGCAAACAGGCAGCTTTTCCCCCAAAGGGTTTGCAGCTTGCAAGGGAAGCAAGAAAACAGTCAGTACTTCAACCTTATTATCAAAAGAACAAACACATGACATTTGGGATGCTGGAAATGGTAAGGAAGGGACTTGGTTTCCAGTCATTCCTTGTACAATTGATTACGATCTTATGCTTCCTTTCTGTCTGGCTTACATCAATTGCTGTTGATATCAATTAAGGCAGGTGCCAACAATATCTCTACTTCCCTTGAAAAGTCCTTCACATCTTCTACCATTGGGCACAAATGGGGAAAAATGGAATCCGTTCTATTTTGTTCTTCAGTATCCATATATTTCATATAAAACAAATTAATCACTGGATTAAATATGCACTTCAGCAAACACCAGGAACAACACGCTCTCTAAAAACTTATCAAACATCAAAATCCTGGGCATCCAAAATGGAATGACTACCTTAATGGGGCTTCCAAAATGAAAGTGCTGGTCTGAATGGGAAGAAAAGAGGGCTTATGTTATAAAATAAATGCAGACTAGCGGCAGAGGCACTTGGTGAAATCCATGAGAAAGCCAGTTTGATCTACTGGTTGGGGCACCAGGCTGGAAACTGGGAGGCCATGAGTTCTAGCCCTGCCTTGGCCGTGAAAGCTAGCTGGGTGATCTTGGGTCAGCCAACCCATCTCACAGAGTTGTTGTTGTAGGGACAATAGGAGGAAGGAAGACTAGTAGCTACATTAGCCACCTTGAGTTATTTATAAAAATAATAAAGATGGGATATAAATAAAGTAAGTAAATAAATAAATAAAATAGTTTATCTCCCACTACAGATCAATCCATAAAACAATAAAATTTGACACACTTCTTCAGGTGCCTCTCCTATTAACTGCAATTCTCTTTTTAAAAATCCTACAAGTTCCTTGGTTTCCAAAATGGAGGGGAAACTTTGTAATGCTTCTTTCTTTTTCTTTTTGGTGGATATTTTGTGGTATGAAAGAATGGAAGGAACAAGCAGAGAATAGCTAAGATAACTCTGTTTAGCCCGCTCTGTTGATTCTGTATTTGTATTTAAGAGGAGTGCAAATAAAGGCCTCACTGCAAGCTGTATTTATGCCCTTCAAATATTTAAAGAAATATATATTCTTCCCCTGTTCACTCTTGCCTCCTCCACACTTATTATTTGCAAAGTCCTTCTGCTACCTTTCCACTATCTTGAAATTTTCAAAACCACTGGAGTCCCTTAGAACTAGGTATATTAGTGCCCCCTTTTACTTGCTGGTGCTTTTAAGGTAGTTCTCCTTTGCTTACACAAAAGCTACAATGACACCTTGGGCAAAAAAACACACCCTTATAAGATAGCAAAACCCCAAAACCAATTTTCACACTGAAAGGGAATTTTTAACTCTTCATGTGGTTTCTCTGATTTCCTGGCCATCATTCTGGTTTTGGACCACAATAGCCAGTTTATCTTTTAAGAGTAGAGTGACAGGGTCCATCTACCATATAAGGAATAGCCTGCAGATGTCTTTACCAATTCTTGAAGGTAGTTATGACACACTTCACTTGATGATCAAGATCAAGAAGAACTCTCAGGAACAAAATTTGCCCAGAGTTGATTAGAATGTGGCAAAGCAGAAATGAGGTAGCCAACTAACAAGTTCTACTTGCTTTTCAACTTTATAGTTTATAGAGAGTTCTCCAACTGATGTCACATAAATTTTCTATAAACTCAACATGGATCAGAGTGAGCCCTTTTGAAAAACCTGCTGTGGATTTTCCTACTTCCACGTGTATATATTGCTTAGTGGCTTAGCTTTGATGGTCACTAGCTACTCCCAGAATCTTACCTTTGGGAGTAGAAATGGCACAATAGATTGTCCATGTGTAGCGCAGCTGGTGAGCTGGTTTTAAAGTTGCTTGTAAGTAGATCTTTCCCCGAGCCCAAACTGTCCCTTTGTAGTGATCAAGATCTATTGCTGTGAATGGGGAGTGAGAGAAGAAGAAAGGAAACAATGGAATTACTAAGGGCAGGCTTACAATGGCACAAAGAACCATAGATTCCCACTCCAATTAAATACCTAAGGGATCACTGGCAACTTCCTGAGGATCACATGGTCCAGTGATTGTTTGTTCCACACTAAGGACATATTTTAAGCAGCAGGATCCATTGTTAAATAAAACAAGGTTACAGGATTGTGTGCTACCAACCAAGATGTTGCCAGCATCTATCTGTTTCTCTTCTGCCTACAAGCCAAACAACAGAGAAAGATATTAAATACAGTATATACTTCTAATATAGATACTCTATGTAAATATGTTCTGGGATTAATGATACTAAAGGAAAAAGGATGTCAGTGTTTTTATTAGGACATATATTCAATTCAATAATATATCCAACAGGCATCCTTCATCAGACTACATGGCATTAGGTAGCAGCTATACCCACTTATTATACTCCATAGCTCTGCAATGGCTGACTGTCACATGGGTTTGCTTCAAATGGCAGCCACCTTCTTTAACGGGGCTATATTAATTTTTGCAGAGTAGATGTTGTCACTTACCATTATGGTGCCAAACGATCCCTCCCCAATAATTCGCAGAATGTAGCGAATAGTCTTTGGTGTCTTGTCATCCAGCATTTCTTGGTCTCTCCAAACTATCACATAGCTCCGCAGCAGATACTTGATTTGTTCAGCAGGAGTGAAGGTCCATGTCTGAGCCTGAAATCATATGCAGAAGAGGAGGCTGAGGGACACTGAAATCACTTCCTTTTGGAATGGATCAATACGTTGTTAAGAGCCATAGAGGAACCTAATGGATCAATAAGTTGTTAAGAACCATAGAGGAACCCATAGAGAAAAGCTTCCTTTTCTCTCTCACTGCTAGTATCTTGCTATTTTTACATGTAGAACCGTAACAGTGTGAATGCATTATTTAGCAAGGCACCATTGGTAGCTGTTTTTATACTCGGTTCAAGGAAGACTGCTAAATGTCTGTGTTAATTTTCCTACTTACTAAAGCTTCACTGGGTAGTAGTGTTCCTTCAGCAGGCTGGACAGACAGAAGCTTTTGGTCAGACTTCTGGATTTTCCATCTGAAAAGCATAGGTAGTCGGGTACCGTTTTTGATGGTGAAAGTACGTGAAGAGCAGGTTCCCACACAGGTGGGCTTGAAGTACAGGTTGCCATCACCTTCCAAGAGTAGCGCCAGAGGCTCCGCATTGCTCTGAAGAAAAATCTCCTAATGAAGCAAAGATCAATGGACATAATGAGCCAATGTTGGAAAACCATCCGTGGAGGTTCAGTTGGGTCCTAGCTGGCATGATCAAGAATGAAAAAAACTGGACGTATACAAGAAGAAAATTCATATGCAATGTAGTCAAATCAATTCTCATACTATGAAGTTCTAGAAACGCCATTAAACATACATAACTGCAATCTCCGTAATACAGGCATCGATTTGGACTGATAAATGACAAAAAGCTAGACACTGACAGAAGCCAATGAAGGAATGTGGAAGATTGGGGGTGGGAGAGAAAGATGATCCCAATTATACATAGTTGCCACTGTTGAATTAAGCAATGCAGGTGATGTCCCAGTGTCTGACGTCTATGGGATCTGGATGGGGAACAACAGAGTTGGACAGAAGGCTAATTAAGACTGAGTAGCTCTGGATTCCAATGCTTTCCAGTTCTGGGACTACATCATCTCTGGTACTGAATGGGGTTGTGCTGCCCAGACAGACTCAGTGTACAACTTGGGGGGCCCTCCTGGGCTTGCAACTCCTGCTTGAAGAGCAGGTGGCAGATGTGGCTAGGAGGGCCGTTGCTCAGTTTCACGTCGTGTGCCAGTCGCACCCGTTCCTGGATCAGGAGGCTCTATTCACCATCACTCATGTCCTAGTAACCTCCAGAACGGATTACTGTAAGGCACTCCACATGGAGTTGCCCTTGAAGAGAATCTGGAAGCTTCAGCTGGTATAAAATGCAATGATGAGGGCAACTATAGTATGTGTGCCCCTAGAATGGCACATGTTACATTTGTGCTCCACAACCTGTATTCGGTTGCCAGTTTGTTTCTGGTTTCAATTCAAGGTGCTGGTTTTGTTATTTAAGCCTCATCACAGCACAGAGCTGGGTAATTTGAGGGATTACCTTTTCCCAATTAATTCTGCCTGTCCCATCAGGTCTGGCAGAAGAGGCAAGCGACAGATCCCCTCTATTAGAATCATAGAATAACAGAGTTGGAAGGGACCTTGGAGGTCATCTAGTCCAACCCCCTGCTCGAGCAGGAGATCTGCCTAGGATCGAACTCACAGATTGTGAGGCAAGAGCTCCACCTCTAGGCCACTGGAGCTGCACCACTATTAAGGAACTACAGTGGAGCCCAGCTTCCTTTTTCTGCTATAGCGTTCATCCTGTGGATCAATCTCCTTCCGCCCACCCCCCCCCACCCCCAAGACAGGCTTCATCCTGGATGTCCTTCTGGAAGTCCTTCAAAACATGATGATGTCAACAGTCTTAGAGGCCTTGTGGATATGGGGATTTAAAGTGTGGCCCCACTGCATGTAACATCTAACGTTCTCTTTCTAGCCCTTTTTTTCATAATAATATTGATGTTTTAATTGTAGAATGCTTTTTGTGATTACAGTTTTTATGGGTTTTGTACAACACCTAGAATCACATTTCTGAGAGATTGGTATCATATAAATATGATGGATAAATAAACATAGGCTGAGTTAAAAGCAAGAAGTCCAGAAGTAATGACAGTCAAAGGATTGTAAACAGCAACCATCCCCCGCCACCACTACCTCCCAAAAAAGTATCATTAGATTTTGGCTTAAGTAAATCACATTTAAATGATCAGATTCAGTTCTGCTCTGGATGTCATCAGACTGGATAAGCCTATTTCCTTCCTTTTTCTAAGGAACTGGTAAAAAGAAGAAAGTATATCTGCAGACATTCCTAAGCCTCAGCTATTTTCCCCTTTTCTTTAGATAAGGAAGCAGGAGAAAGGATTATAAAATAACATGTTGCCATAAGTGAAGGAGTTATCCAAATTATTGATCCTCGTTAAGCTAATAGTTCTTACATTGGTATAGAACAGCAAGAGTTTCTCCAGCTTTAAAGTCCTTACCAAAATTAAATTAAAGTAAAATAAAACTACTAGAGAAAGGGTGCCAAGAAGATGAAAGGGGCATGATAGCATAATAAAATAGGGCAAAAAATGGAAAGAAAAAAATGCACTTCCTTGCTTACCTGAGTGAAAGAGGACCAGAAATTGAGATGCAAGAGCAAGGTGTGCTGTTGTATAGTTGTTTCTGTGGGGCAAGTTGAAAGGAAAAAGATCTGGTGGGCTCCTGGAATAACATATCCACAGCTAGGCTTGACCAAGATAGAAGGGCACTTTTCTCGGCCAATGTTAAAACATATGGCTGTCGTGCCTACATTGCAGAGTAGCATGCTACGGTATGTGGTGACATTCCGACATACTGGAGGAAAAACCTGGGAGACAGGAAGAGATTTGGATTGGAGAAGCAGTCCCTCAGTGATTTTCCTCTATAACTTTTGTACTTTAAAGGAACTTTTATTAAAAAGCAATGTGGAAAGTCAATTGACCATATGCAATTTATAGCATCTAGTTCAATATGCCAGGTGACTCCCGTGTACTGTATCAACCAGCAAACCACCAAAATACAGGTTTCAAACATGCCCAGCTGTTCAATAATTGCAAACCATCACCTGCATTCAACGTTTTAATTTCAGTTTTAAAGTACTTTTAAAATATGAGGGTGAAGGTTCATTCTCCGAGCTTGTGGGTTGGTTTCAGAGTTGAACAATAACTTGGCATTGCTTAATACCACAGAGATCAGTTTGATCCAGTGAATCAAATTGATTAATTTCTAAATGGAAACAGCAGGACTGGATCTCTTAAGACACTATAAATAATGGCTGTAAAATACTATGCCAACAAAAAAGTGACTATCCTTGAGAAAACTGCCTGTGCTCCACAAACATTTACCAGGGATGACAAACATTCTTCACCTTGTGACAGTCCAAGGTGAACTGGGGGATGAAGTGCTGTCGCCCAGGTTGAAAAGTATGTCCACGCAAGCGGATGGTCAAACTCCAGGATGGACATATGGTGATGGGCTCCTCAACATTGTTGTAGTGCCTCAGTACCTACCAGTGAAAAGAAACGGAGCAAGGGAAGCCTCTTAATTTGTGCTTTAGAGTTAAACAAATGTTAAACAAAGAGGTTCCGAGTCAGAATTCCAAGGCAGGAAGAGGATCGAACATGCCCTTCAACAAATAGCCTGCTTGCTACATTTTTAAACCAGTTCCTTCCTAACCCTCCCTTTGGTAGGAAATGGCAGATGACTTTTGCCAGGACAAGAATCCACATATTAATAGCATATTTGACATCAGATAGCCAACCATACCAGCAGTGGGATCCTATCTGTTCCACTGCCAGTTCGGTGATTGGGCGTGGATGCGCACACACCTAACATGCATATACCTAACGCTTTCCCCACACCAGCTGAGGCCTGCAGCACCAATCAGCTGCGAGGATAGAGAGAAAAGCGCAGAGGTGGGTGGGAGAGCCGATCCTGCGCTTTTCTCTTCTTTCTCCTCTCGGCTGATTGTCGTGGGAAGCTTTTTTTTTTACTATCGGTTCGAGTGAACCGGTGCGAACCGGTAGCATACCACCACTGAACCATACCAAAGTGACATGAGAAATTATCCACCCTAATGGGATGAGAAGCTGCGGGTGCTAAAGGTCATCATTTGGGACTTCAGTTTCTACCCACCTTATAGAAAGCAAAGCCTTCCAGTTCTGCTGCATATAAAGTATTGACCTGAGGAGGCTGGAAAGTGATGCGGAAAGCCATACTCTTGAGAGATGGGATGTCACAACCCTCTGGCATCACCTGGAAAGGACTGTGTGGCTTTCTTGTCCAAATAACGGTGACTTTCCCCTTTGTGTGGTTAGTCACAGAGAAAGGAAGTGGCTCTATCTCTCGAAGGCTTGCACAGCAGCCAAAATCAAACTCCTTGATGCTGAGGCTGACATGGGGAGGATATATCGTGAGGTCACTGTATACACCATCATGGAAATATTCAACCATGGGTTCAATGACAGGGTACTCCTCAGGGGGTTTGTCCTGCAGCATCTTAAAAACAAAATATCTGCATTTAGCCAAAAGAGAAACTGTTCATTCTACTATATTGAAAGTAAGGGAATAATTAGTATATGTATCCATGTCCATAGGAAAGCTCAAGTTATTCAACAATGGGATAGAAGCCTATCAAATTTAACAAACTGAATTTACAGAATTTACCATATTTATAGTGTATTCTGGGAGTTATGATGATACAATACAGAGGCATTGGTAACCAATTAATATGCTAGGCTTCCTTTTCAAGAGAAGCCAGGCTGAATAAGTCTGCTTCTCATAAAATATCCTTACCTCTGGTGGGAGTGTAAGAGCTCCATTCTCATCTACTAGCAGCTTGCCTTCCTTCAGCATGGTGCCCAGGATGTCTGGTGGGAAAAAGGTCAGTCCTCTGGCCATATGTGTCTTGTACCTGCTCATATCCTTCATTTTCAGGGGGATTGGACTTGTTGTTTCTGTGTGGCAGGTCCCAACCAAATCTAAGAACAATGGATCCTGACCAACATCAAGAACACAAGAAAGAAAACAGTCTATTTTACCTGCAGAGGCATTTTGTTCTACCCTTCATTCTGAACTTTGCCTAGAAGTGTCATCCATAGAATTTGGCACAGGACAATGTGTGAAATTTTCAGCTTACAAAACTCTAAACAACTAGTGTTGTGGACAAAAAATAAGCCTAAGAAACAAAATAGAGGTTGCACCTTTTTCCTACTTGTGTCTTAGACATCACCAGGGTCAAACCCAACTCTTCTCTTGGCCTAACCCTATCAGACCCAAATTTGCCCCTGATAAAGCTCAGATACACCAAAGAAGAGAGATGCCTCCCTAAGTAGCTCACATTTTAGCCCAAGGAAGCCTCAATAAGGGAGTTCCAACATGGTAACAAGGTGAGAAATCTCAATGCCCAATCAGCCTGATGATTCTATCTCCTCAAGTGTGGACTTCTCCAGTTCTGCTGCCAGAGACCGGAGCAAGGACCTGCCTAACATCTCCCAAAATTGCCATCAAATCAGATCCCTGGGATTTCCTGCTTTCTAGTCCTCTCAACCACTATACAAATCATTGCTTTCCCATTGTTTGGAGCCCCTCATTCTTGTAAAGCAAGCACCCAATCTTTGTTGCAATAAACACAGATCTCCTATTGTGCTCTGTACTTCTGAATTTTTCATAACAAGAGGACGAAAAAATTAAACATATTAGAGCCTGAAAATTAGGCCCATACTATCAGCATTCAATTCAGAGCCAGTACGTTGATTTAACTTAGAAATGTTATACAAGAAATGAAATAGGAGCTACTGGCCTGAGACAATAGGAACATGTCATACAGTATAACCAGAGTTGCCTGGACAGAATTATTCTATCTGCTTAATGAAATGGCACTCAACCATCCTGTAGTTGACTGGGAGTGCACAATTCAGAGACCAGTTGCAGGGCAAGATGTATCCTAGCCCTCTTACCTGATGATGCACAAGGCAAGCCACACGCCGGTAACATATAATTGGGTGAGTAGGCTGGAAAGTCACCTTCAGCGTGATTGTTGACATTCCATTCAAGACCCCACAAGGATGGTCAATGGAAAACACACTCTGTGTGCAATCAATGTCGAATTGATAGTAAGCTGGAATGTCGGAGTTGTTAGTGATGTCTAATGGCTGATTAGAGTATTCACCAAGGTTAAGGCAGCAGAAGTAAACAGAGGGTGGCTGAAAAGTTACTGCAGGGCCTAGAATGACAAATAAGTCCAATTTTCATTCTGCTATGATGATTACCATCCAGGAAGGGGGTTTTTGTACAATAAAAACTCCCAATAATTAGTTTTACTTTGAAGTATGGATGTCATGCACATTTTCTATAAAACAATTACTCTAGTCACCTATTTTTCAAGGCTTCCAAACATACACAGATCCATTCTCACACATATGTGGAACAGAAATGCACAAGATCAGGTTCTTCCTCTGTGGTGAGCAGAATTCTGTTTTCTTCAGAAAAGGGTCATTTCAAATATTTCTAACAGATAATGAATAGTTGTACATTCACATTGAGATAACAGAAAATAGTACACAGAGCAGTAAATTTTTAGGCTTGAAAATTAACATAGGAATCTAAATAAATCAGTTTTGTTGGCTACAAATATATTTTCAATCAACTTTAGAAAAATGTTCTCCATAATGTGATTAGAATCCAACCTCAGGCAAGTTTCTGTACCTATGTTTAGTAAAATTAGGACTGAGACATAAGCATAGGTAAAATTTGTTTTTGCTCAGTTTCTCCTTTTTAAAAAAATATTAAGGACATTTAATGCCATTTCTGCACCTACCTGTATTTTTGTGTCCATAATTTCACAATATACATAGCAAGAGGCTTCCCACACCTAGGTGAATTACACCAAATGGAATAAAAGTGGTTTTTCTTTGGGTAATGACACACAGATAGACTCATTACTCAACACAACAGGAAATTTAAATTGACTTAAAATTGTCATGTGTATCAAAATATATTCCAAAATCTCCTGAAGTGTTTCTATTAAGACAAAAATCAATGAAATTACCATTGTAATTTGTTGAAACAGCAAAAAATCATCCAGTGATATTGTCTTCATAATACAAGTACCCCTCAAGCTATGACCGTTTGAAGTTATGACAGTTCTGAACCAGTCCTCAATGTTTCATAAGACTTTCTAATAAGCAGTTTGGGGTAATGAAACCATTATAATTTTTTCCCAATATGTTTCTTGTTTAAGTTTTTTGATGGGAGAACTGCTTTACAAAATATGAAAAAAAAATGAGGATTGTAAAATATACTGTGGCTTGCATACTGGTCTGAGAAAGCCACATTTGTTAAATTTGCATTTAAATATGAATTAAATTTCTCTTCCATCCCCTGATATGCTTCAGTACAGCATAAAGAAGCAAATAGGCTCCTACTGCACGTACCTTTGCATGATCCTGTCACTTTCAACACAGAATGTGTGCTACTTCCAAAAGGCACAATTGTGAAATAATCCACACTTTTCACACCCACAGTGTTTGGGCTAAACCTAACAGGGATGACTGATGTGCCACCAGCTTTAACAATGGCTTGGGTAATGTCGCAGGAAAAGACACGATCACGAAGCATTGGCTCCTTTGTTCTGTCAATCCTGAATGGAGCATCAACCTGTCAAGAGACAGACAGTTAGCTCTCCCTCGCTGAGCAAAGATCATTGTTTTACATTGGGCAGCAAAGGCCAAGAAAGCCTGAAACAGATTTTCTCACAATCTTGTCTTTTCTAACTTGAAAGAGTAGTCTAGCTGGAAAAGTGAGTGAAAGCACATTGGCAGCTAATGTGGTTAGACATTAAGAACCAGTGACATACTGCTTCTTTTCCATATCAGTTTTATTATTTCCTCTCCAAGGATCGAGATCCTTAATAGGCCAAGCCAGTCTTTCAAGTCTATTAACTCATTCTTACAATCAAGGATCACTGAGTTGAAAAGAAATTAGCAAAATTGCAGGCCTCTAAGTGAAACAAAGCTGCCTTCTGAAATTTGGCCACACATACTTTTACCCTCTTCCTATCACATTTCTGAGCAGATCAGTTAACTAAAGCAATGCCTGGCCAGCTTCTTACACCCAATAAAATTGTAAAAATGGTCCATTATGTTCATGTGAATTGTCTAAATAGCAACAGGGACAACCCTAAAAAATTGATAGTTGGAGAAAGCCTTTCATCCAGATTTCTCCCTTTACTTCAGGCCCATTTTCTGAAGCATCCAGAACCCCTTCCAGATTATATTACCAACATTCAACACTATATTTGGGTTTTGCATCTCCTACAATTGTAAGTAAATGAATCTGTTAAGCTTCCACTTTATTACACTGATTTTTTAAAATTATTTTTTAAAAACTGATCCCACAAAAACTCCCAAAGAAGTCAAACGTGTGACCCTGTTCCTCACAAATGTTGCCACAGCATCACTGGCATACTTCAATTGGTGCTTGAAGACACCTTCTGCCCGCCCCCCTGCCCACCCCTCCCAAAAGGTATGGCCTGTACAGATAAAATCATCCACTTTGAAAGTAGATGGAAAGACAACATGTCTCTGTGAGAAGAACAGGCCACATTGGATAGAACAATCCCTTCCTCACATTCAAGAAACACCTTTCCATACCACAGATACGTTCAGTATCTCCATTTCTTTCTCCACAGTGCTGTCAACAGCAACAGAGCCAAAGGAAAGCACATCCCGGAACTTTATTCGCTTGATATCTTCATAGGTGTCTTCTTGCACATTGACCAGCAGGTGGGGATATTTACCTGGAAAAAAAATTACTGTATTTAATGATGGAGATAGATGGCTGTGTTCTGAATTTATGTTGATTCTGACATTTGGGTCACTGCACCAATGGTGTGGCACTATTTGTGGTTTGACCTGAAACGTGTTACAAGAAAAATATTCTGGGAACATTAATTTCCCTTCTAAATTTTCCTAACATGAGTTTTATGGCGAGGAGTCAAAAGCCTTCCAAATTATGGGCAATTGACTACAAAACACGGACATGTGAGACATCAAACTTCCTATTACGGTAAAAGATGAAAAATAAGAAGAAGAAAGCTATCATTTTCTTGCAAGAAAGTAACCAGACATGGGAAAGACTTGTGAGTTTTCAGCTACAACATTTATACATGATGATCAGGGAAATAATATTTATTAGCAATTTTGGAAGTGCCCTGAGTAAAAGTTCAGAGGCAATACAATGATATTGCAAGGGAAACAAAGAAATGAATTAGATTTTTTTAAAACAGCGATAAGCTACACTGCATAATAAGACAGGACTACATATCTTCCAAAACTCCTTGGTTTTTAACATTGCAGGTAAATGTATAGGCAACCATACATGTAACCCCTAATGCATTGTTTGTCCTAGGGAGGCGAAGATGCAATAGGATATATACACACACCAGACGCACATAGACTTAGAATGGAAGATATAATTTCTTTTTTTCCCCTACAGTGATGTAGGGAGAAATTGCTATCTACCAAAGGAGAAATGAGGTGGGGATGATGGACAAACTAAGCTATTCAGCATATCTGCCTGAAGGTTAGTCAGCTGGAAGTCATAAAGATGAATGGAGCTCCCAGGAGGCTGACATTTTGCTGAAGATACATATCAAATGTTGTGTTTGATACTTTTAGAATGTACTGTAAATGTTCTTACCAACAGCTTTCAGTTTAAGAGTCTTCTGCTCCTGATTGTCTCCAAAGGTGCATGTTGCTAAAACATCATATACTAAAGCCATCTCAGGTTGAAAAGTCACCTTCATTATGCATTCTTCACCGGGATCCAACATGCCACGAGCAGGAATAAAAGAAAAAGGTTCAGGCACCTCCCAGCTGAAGCATATCAGTAGATCCCTACAAAAAAACAGTCGATAAACCAAAAGTTCTTTATCAAAACTAAACAGTGTTTCTCAAAATATTGTATTATGTACCTATGTATTTATTTTATAGTAGCTGCATGCTACCTACCAGTACTTTGCAAGACTCTGGACAGGTCATAGTGGTAAAATCTCATCAAAAAAGCCCCTCCCATTAAAATAATTAAATTAAATATAATTAGCTATACATCACTACTTACTAATAGTCAAAGTATAAACACCAAAAACTGTTCAACTGTCAGCGTTTCTATCAAACCCTAAGAAAAGAGAATTATCTTTAGGGAAAGAAGAAAGGTTCCATTCTAATTTCAGGAAGAAGATTCCAAAGGGTCAGAACACCCATGGAGAAAACTTGATCCCATGTTGATATTTGGGAAGAGGGAACAACTGGCAAACCTTCTCGAGTCCAGCAAACCGGAGGGAAAGATTCTACTTGTATAATACAATTTCATAAAAGTTATGGATCTGAACCATAAAAGGCTTCATAGATCACAACTAGTGTTATGAAATATACAGTACTCCCAATCTAATGCAGCTCCCACAAAGAAGGTATGATTTTGTTAGATTGGGTCTGTCCTATCGGGAGTCAGGCCGTTTCATAAGGACCAGTAACCCAACCATGAGAGAAAGGGATGAGTTACAATCACTTAAGAGCATCCTGTTCCAAATATGGCTGCTTCTGTTGCTCTAGCTCAGAGATCTCCAAACTTGGCAACTTTAAGACTTGTGGACTTCAACTCCCAGAATTCTCCAGCCAGCTGGCTGGAGAATTCTGGGAGTTGAAGTCCACAACTCTTAAAGTTACCAAGTTTGGGGACCCCTGCTCTAGCTGTAGGCAGGTGAAGATTCTTCTGATCACAGCTTCCATCTGCTATTCTAGCAGGAAGTATGAATCAAGGCAAACTCCTAGATCTTGGCCCAACATTTAGAGACTGGATAGAAGTTGTCTAAAATCTCTGGACTGAAACAGTGCCTTTGCAAGAGGGGATGCACCATTGTTTCCTTCCCACAGATAAGTGTGATCCTTCCCTCAGAAAAGCATTAAGTATTTCTCAAAGCTATGGACCTACCCTCTCTGTGCCATTTCAATTGATCCAAGAAAGGCAGGGATCTACTACACTTCCTCAGACATCACGTTTCAAGGAATACAAGGTGCCACTACAGTCATCTCAATGGATCCTGTCAACAATTAATCCATCTCAAAAAGAATAAAATCAGAGTAACAGCAAGGGAGATCTTCTCATCCATCATTCTCCAAGTAGCTGCAGGTAATCATTATATTGGAGATCTAACATTGGGTTCTTAACCACTTTTGGTTGTGTTTGTTCATGTTTGCTTTTCATTTTCCCTTTTGACACTATGTATTTCTTTGTTGTTTCATTCCCTTGGACTCCTCTGGGAATCACCGCATATAGGAAGAGGCTAATCGGGAGCAATTTCATCCAATGCCTTTGCCAACTTCATATCCCAGAGCTCAGTGAGTGGAAACTTGAAACTGCCTACATGATCATCGGTACAGTTCCAAATGCACTCTGGAAAACCCTAGCATTAATAAGACACCTGAAGAGGAACTTCCTAATTGTATCCTCCCTGCATTCTGAAAGCTTCAGGGTGACAAAAATGTTGTAAGTCTGTGGTGAGTCCCTGGGACAATCCATGGTTGCCATTATGGCCAGGAGATCCTACCTTTCCTGACGTAGCCCCAGTGCATGGAGATTGAAATTCTCCAGACCATAGGCTTGGACAATCAAGTTGAATTCAGAGACCAGCCTGAGTTTAGAATTAGATGTTGTTCAGCAGGAAATTAAACACTATAATAGCACCCCTAGCAATTCCCTAATATCCAACTTAACACATAGGATCACTTGCAGTTATCTAAAGTAGAAGGCATCAGGATATTGCCGCACATCTTCCATGTCTTAAAGTCACACTTGCTGCAGTTACTGAAACCCAGAGCATGGCTTTTCATATAAGGACTCCCTTCACATCCTTACCCAGCCATGTGTCACAGTGATATATTGCAGGCCATATAATATTGGCTAGCTCAAACCTTCCTTCGTCTCCTAACATGCCTCCATATTGAATATCTAACAAGAATCTGGCTGCTACTGGACCCTTCCATAGGAATTGTTAGGGGGACAAAATATAGCAGATGGCAGTAGCTCAATGTTTTTTCTGAGACATTGCTCACCTACTCCAAGGAAGAGACAAAGATAAACTGGGCTGATACAGAACCCTGTGGATAAAGGCTGTATGGCTTGTTGAGAAGGAATCCCATCAATTTTCCTTCCAGTAAATGACAGCCATTTTCTAATCCAATGGCAGTTCTATGTCATGCTCTCAAAACTGTCTTGAGAATTAAATTATGTCTTCCACCTTTATAAGTCTGGAAACTGAAGTATTATGGACTTTATTTAGTCAAGCAAAGAGTTTAATTTGCCTGTTGTTTCCTATTATGGATTCTGATAGCTCTCAAAACTACTGGTTTTGATAACACATTCTCAATTCCCTTCAGCAACCTTTCCCAGTTTGGTGCCTCCTCCTCCTATCCACCACAAGTCAGGTGAGAATTTTACTTTAAAACATCTGAAGGGTACCATGCTGGGGAAGACCATTTTACACCATCTGGAGCAGAAACGAGGAGCATTTCTGTATCTCATAGGATCTGATTGCAACCCAAAAGTAAGCAACCTTGAAGGGTATAAAAAAAGCGCACCTACCCATTATTGTATAAAGGAAAGCAGGACTCCACAAAATGATAGACAGCACATGCAGGAAGCTGGATGGTATCTGGCAAAAGGAGATCAAGGCGTGGTAGTTTAGCTACCAGTGCAACAGAAAATTCTCCTTCTGGCTTTTCAAAGAGGATGCTATCTTCATATTCCCTCTGAATAAGAAAAACAGAAGATAATCACTTCAAATATGTGTCCTATTTCAAATGTAGTTAGGATGGACATCTCCTTGTGATGCATAAGTGACAAGGGGACAGACAGATGATTGTACCTAACGAATGCCTGTGTCAATTATTTCTTCATGCTTCTTTATGTAAGGTTTAAAATGCTTATAGAGCAAGATTGCTGTGTAGAAATATTAAAACTAAAAGCATGACAAAGCATAAAATGAACCAAACAAACAAATAAGCAGATTTAGTATTAAAATATCTTCTGTTTAAATACCTCTTTTGATGATTAGCCAAAAATGGGAAGAGAACACTTTGGAAAATTCATATGGAATTAATATGACAAGATAGCAATATCTTTAATATTCTTTACTCATATCTATGAACAAATACACCAGCTGCTTGGGCAAAACCAAAATGAGGTTTACTTCTTTTTGGCTTAGTATAACATGTAAACAGAATTGGTGAATTAGACGTAGCTTGCTTTAGAGCAGTAAACTCCAAAATATTTTTTCTAATGGGATTATTTTTTCTGCAGTTCTGCCTCAGTATAGCATGGCAACAAGGGCACAATATTTTACTTTGATTTCCTGGCTTATTCCTGGACTGATTTTTTGTTTTTGTTTTTTGTTTTCGATGCAGGCATTTATGTGTAGCTGTATTATTAAGCATTGTATTATCCCAATCCTCATAAAGATTATTTGTTTCAGTGCCCCAAATCTCTCTGTCTGCCAAGTTGGGCAAAGAGATAAGAGGAATTGCTGCTGTTATTTTAAATACTTATGACTCTGAAATAAGTATACACGTGACTTACCTTTTCCAAAGGACGGAAGATAATTGGCAAAGTTAAGGACATTCCAGCTGTCAGAATAATTGGCTGTGGGAAAATGGTGATGAAGAAACGTGTAGTGGGAGGTCTGCAACAAAAGGAGCACAAAAAGGCATAAATGAGGTGATGCTGAAGAGATTCTGTGTAAACAAAGCAAAGGATTACATAATAAGTAACATTATATGGAGCATACAAAGACAACCATGCAAAATTTTAAGAAATTGAAATATTTCAAAGTCAGAGACAGAAAGATAACAATAGTATTTACAAAACTGTTAAAATGGTAACTAGGGTTAACTCTGGGCTCAAAAATATAGAAAAAACAATCAAAAGATAGTAGCAAATGAAGAAAGAGCAATTCTGCATGGCAGCTTTAAGCTGTCCTGGGCCCAACTGAAAATGAAGCCAGCTTAAGAATTCCATCCTGGATTTCAATCTGATCCTCCATTATAGAAACAATGCGATCCATGTATTCCAGACAACGGTGTGTCCTCACTGGTGGGTTGCCCTGCCTATGCACCCTTCCCACTAGGACTAGGAAAGCTAATGCCAGCTGCTTTCCTCTGTGTGGGTGGGTTTGGAGAATATGTGTTTTCCCATCACTGGCCTCATAGCCCCATTAGCTTTGAACCACTCTCCTGCCCTGTCAGCAATTTACCCCAGAGGCTCTTCTGCATGGATGCTTTAAGCTGCTTGTCTCTTGGGCAAAAACCAGCTAAAAATGAAGCTGGCTTAAGAACATGCTCTCCTACTTCAGCTTTGACAATAATGCCAACCAGAGGTTTTGCCCGATGGCAGTCATCACAGCCGTTAATTCCATGCATGTACTTCACATTTTATGAACCCCCTTTCACTGATTCCTCTTCATACTTAGCAGCTTTTTTGACATGTCTGCCAGGGACCCATGAAGGTGGAAGTCCAGTCCTTCTTCCTGTCGCCTGAGCTACAAGAGGGATTTTCAGAACACTTATCAATTTCATTTGTTTTTTTTTTAAGCTTTTCATCATTCAACTGGTGAAGTTGTTAAGGAAAAAAAAAAGGTCAAGTGTTCCACCATTGTACCATGAAAGCTTGGAGGACAATGACCAGAGGGGAGGGTTATCATCTTCACTGTGCAAGCTGCCAGTAGGAGAGGAGGCATTCTTCTAAATTGAAATGAAACACAATAGGCAGACCGAATAGCCCTACTTGGAGAAAACCCTGATATGGAGCAAAAAACAAAACATGGATAGAGATTGCTGTTGCAGTAGGATGGGTTAGGTTAAGTGTGAGATCATGAATTCCTGACCTCAAGAATCAGTTAATGGACTATCCTCATGCTGTGACATGCAAGACAGGCAGATAAGTTCCAACTTGTTAGGTTTGTTTTAGAAGGGATAAGATAATAATTCTAGACTTCCAGATTTAATACTCAGGAAAAACCCCATTGATATCTCAAGGAATTACTTCCAAAGAATTCCACACAAGATCAGACTGGACAAAACTTAAACAATAAGATCTGGACTAAGCAATGTGAAAAATTATCTGGATTTACACATTGAGCTATCATACCCCCATTGTTTAATCCTATTGGTTGAATAATCAACAGTTGCCTGGATATATGCCTTGTATAAAACCAGAGAATATAGTCTATACACCATAATGTGTAGAAAGGAAGCAAAGCCAAAACCAAGCAAGTCATAATGTGGCTCTGCATAAAACAGAAACTTAAGTTTATGACATTTAAAATAGCTGCTAAGATTCAAGAGAACAATATCCAATTTCAAGAGTGTTTTTCTTCAATATAATTTGGGTTATGTGAGGAACAGCCAAAAAAATAACAAATGGTAAAAAGTAGGAAAAGCTACAGAATAGCAAATGAAAGCTCCTTTTACTATTGCATGGTGTACAAACCTGAACTTCAGCTTCTGGGGTTTCAGACACACATTTCTTAATATTAGATGTTTAGTGAATTCCCTTCCTAGAGACCATCTTTGCCAGTTGAGGCTCTCAGCTACTTCAATACCCCAGAAAATATTCTTCTTAGGTTTTCTCACAGAGGAATCGATAGATGTCTGGGAAACCCCCGTCAGCTTCTGAAGAAGTGGAAAAAACCAAGTTATGGCTTAGCTAGCTTATTGTGTCATCTGAAGGCTGATAACCAATTTTATCCAGCCAATTAATACAAGGAACTATACCCTCCCACTAATGTTTCCAGCAGTTAACCTGGGATACTTTAGACCAGGGGTGTCAAACTCAATGGCCACAGGCCAAATCCAGCCCGCAGGGTGTTTAGATCTGGCCTGCAGGGCCGCCCTGGAAACAGCAAAGGATTGGCTCATGGACCTTCTGCCAGCAAAAATGGAGCTTGGGAGGGTTACACACAGCCCACCCAGGCTCCATTTTTGGCTACGACGGTCTCCTGCAGCTCTCTGCCAGTGAAAACTGAGCCCAGGGGCCTGTTTTAACTGGCAGAGCGCTTTGGCCACTACAGGTGCCCCAACACAAGTGATGTCAAGGTGGCCACGCCCCTCTGGCCACGCCCCCCCCCCCCCCCCCCCCTCCCCCAAGTTCAAACACAACCCTGATGCGGCCCTCAGTGAAATCAAGCATGACACTCCTGGTTTAAACAATATAAGTGAAAATGGATTTCAACATAATGGCAATTACAAATTTCATACTAACTAAATTAGAAAACCTATGATACACACCTGCTTGGTACCACTGCGATAGTCTTTGAATGGAATCTTTCTTGGGTGTACATGATCCATGCAGATGAGTGAGCATTTCTGCATCTGAGAAAATGAAAAGCAAAACCAAATTATACAGCATTATAGAGCATTAAACATGCTAATGATAAGAGGCCATCTACTATGTTTACCTAAAGAAGGCCAAATCCTCAACAGACTCATTTATTTTTCCAGATTTTGTTCTACTGTACTTTATTAATTTATTTGATTCTTTTTGTTAGTTTTTATTGTTTTTTTTTAAATATGGTTTTACATTCTGTAAGACGCCTCAAGTTACCATGGGCAAATAGGTGGCAATATAGATTCAATAAATAATTAATAATAATGATGATTAAGGTAATTTTACAATTGCGGAGGGGTATCTTAGATTGGCTTAGAATTTAGAAATGGAGGCAGACTGGTTTCTTCTATCTAAACTTCCTTGTAAATGGGTTGTCTTGTCTTAAATTCAGCGCTACTTTCTATAGAAGGTAACAATATGATCTTACTGAAATTATGGTCCTGACTGCTTCTTTCCAGAAAATATTTTTAAAACTACAGAAATGTTTTTAACACCAGACAAGAGCCATTGTTTACTCAGAAGTAAAACCTAAGAAGTTCAAAACTTTCTATTCGCACATTTCTGAATTCAAGTATCATAGTCTCAAATAAGCCGCAAAAAACAGGAGTTTTTGATCATTTTATAGTATAATCTCTCAATTAAAAAAATACAAAGTGAAAAGGGCATATGCTGACTCCGTAAACCACTTAGAGAGGGCTGTAAAGCACTGTGAAGCAGTACAGACATCTAAGTGATATTGCTATTTGATCAAATCCTAACACAGCTCCAATCTTATCTTGTTTACTTGAAGGTAACTCCTATTAAGCTCAGTCAGTGTGACGATCCAGTTCTTATACACAAAATGTTCAAGGCCACTATCATTCCTTTCCAAATCCTTTCCAACTTTATGAACCACCTCATCCCCACCCCGACTTTATACAAATCAAAGAAGGAAACTACCAGGAGATGTTTTTCTGAAGTTCACCATGACCTTGCCTCTGCTTGAGAGATCCAGAATAATTGTACAGGTTAAAATACTTTCATAAGGATTGTCAGCTATTATTAAGCACAGCAGAAAGCAAAAGATTGTTAGCGAGTTAAGGGATATGCAGTATACCATTAAGGCAAAAAGACCATCTTGCACTCTGCCATTTGATAACACCCTTATACAAATTGTAACACTTGGAACATGAAGGTCAGGAAGAGATGAATAAACAGTGCCTGGGCAAGAACTGCTCTGGGAAGGCAGGCTACATCTAGGCAGGGATTTGGAGAAGTTTTTGCTGCCATCTAGTGTTTCTCCAGATGTTTGCAACCAGACATAGTAATTCTAGCTAAAGCAATTCCAAGGCCCCATTCCTCCGTTTCTATCTATTGGCTGGTGGTACCTCGTTTGCCTTATATATAGACACCTGCATGCATGCCTTACATGATGGGTACAGTATATGCATGCATATACATAGGCATACATGTTGTGTTAAGGAGAAATAATAGGAGACCCAACATCGCATCTACCCCACTCCCGTAAACCTTTAGTGGGCGCTGATCCTGGGTGCTGGAAGACCCTACCAGGAACGCCACCTTCTCCCAGTTCAGGAAAAGAATGCTTCGGAACAGAAACACAAGATCAAAGAAGCTGAAAAACGCGAGACGCCGGCGTTGCTACGGAAACAATACGCGGAAGTAGCTGCCAGTTTCCCGGGCAACCAAGAACGGTAGCCGAAGAGGAACACTCTTCCTCTCCGTCTCCCTGCTTTAACGCGAAAGAGCAGAGGAGCGAGTAGCCTTTGGGGGAGAAAGAGAGGCGATCAGACTGCTCGGATAAGGCAGTCTCTGGAATGGGGCGGGCCCCTAAACCTAAAAGTAAAAGAGATGCTTCCCTATGGTCTCTGAGCGGGCGTTGTGAACTACGCTTCCACCCGAGGCGGAAGCTGGCTGCTTTTCTCCCGATTCTTACTCGGTGGGGCAGAAGAGCCGACTGGCCACTTTCCTGGATTGCAACCTTTTCTTTCTTTCTGGAGGGAAAGGAGAAAAATCTGAACAAATAAGCGGATTTATTGTACGTGATCTCCTTTTCCAAACAACTTCTATTTGCTCTGCTTAATTCGTTCTATTAGTCTGACATTGCTGCCTTAGATGATTTCTTATTGAGTTGCAGCTCTTCCTTCTGCCCTCCCTCCGCACTTAAAAAAAAAATCGTCATATCTTAATCTCGACATGTCTGTTTAGGAACAGTCTTTTTTTCCCCTCCTCCTTTCTTCCTTCTTTTTGTT